ACGTTTAGAATGCCAAGACCACCGCTGTGGCCCGACAACCGGCTGAGTGCATGGGACATGGCAGCCTTTCCTGCGGTCTTTGCTTGGCTTCCGGGGTTTCCTGTCATCAGTCTCTCTTGTCTGCCACTCTGACTCTCTCTGCTCTTCCATATTGGGAGCAAGTACCGTCTGGGCAAGCTGAGGACATACCTGCTCCACTCAAGAGGGCACGAGCTTGCTCGGTTGCTACCGGATCGACGGTAGGAAATCTATTTCACAGGGCTTTCTTGCCAACTCTGCAGGCAGACCCACAGTGTCTCTGAGCTGACCAGCTTCTACCCTGCACCAGTCTAAGACTCAGGCCAAGATTTTTATCTCCTTGGGGGGCAGGGGGAGCCCTATCTGGGGTCTATCTCGCTCAGGATTGGGCCCAGGCTGAAGCTTGGATTATTTACACCGCTTTGGCTCCCTTGAACAGCAGACTCTCTGGGCCCAAGAGCAGTAAATCTACCTCCTAATCACACCAAGCTGCTCCGTGCAGTCTGGCCTGTGCTTGCTGGGCTGTTCATCACGAGCTGAGACAGAGGCGGTGGCCTGGAGAGAAGCCTCCGGGAAGTAGCTGGCCCCTGTTGGCTTCTTCCTGGCTGCCATCGAAGCCCCTGGGAGCTCTGCCTTTGCCCAAAGACTCCTGTGCAGGCAGCAAAGTGGCCTCTCTTGTTAGGTGGAATAGCTGCTGAGCAAAGGCCACAGATCACCTGTTCTTTTTAGGGTCTGGGAAGGTGGGAGAGGGTGTTGGCACTTACCTGTCTCTCGGACATGACATACAGGTAGCGCTGGTCAATGGAGAAAGCCATGTCCCGGAGGATGGGGCTCCCGTCTTTGAAGACAGAGACCATTTCATACTGGACCCCGCCATGGGGGGGACCATCTGCCCGAATCTGCAAGAGAAACAGGGTGTCGTCAGCATCTACACACAGCATTCCCCTGGGGGTGAGCAGCCTCGTGCTGGACGATGCACAGGTATCTTCCCTGAGAAAAAGCCCCTCTCCCCAGTCGCCACTGTAACCTGAGCTGCAGGAAGACAGAGATGCCACTAATATCAACCAGCCCGCCTTCCACCCAGAAGACTCTCTCCCTATGCAGCCTGAATGTGCTGGACCTGGAGTTTCTGACCATGGGTCTCTCTGTGTGTGTACACACCTGCCCTTAGGTGTGCTACTTCCTGTTTCTATTTTGTTACTCTTATGTCCATGTACACACAGAGAAACCCTAGTGGCATAGTGGGTTACACATTGGACCACTTACAAAGTCAGCAGTTCAAAATCACCAGCCGCTCCA